ACACACACACACGCACACACAGGTTCGTGACAGAGGCACAAGGTTACACTGAGTTAAAAAACAAAGAACAGAGTCACATTACCTGAGTACTGCCCATCTCACGCACATACAGCACACAATGCATGGTTAGTCTCACAAGTGTGTGTGGAGCTAAAACTGATAGTGTGTCAGTCATTCAATGCTGATACCTCGAGACAGGCAATTGAAAAGTAATCAAAACAGAAACCCCAGTAACATAAATAAGAGTGTGTGTGCGCATGCAAACACACTCACACACACAGACCAATAGCATCTCATCTGTGTAATTAATTGAAACCAGTAACAGAGAGTCAGTCTGGTAATTAATCAGGCTTAATGTTATTGGTGGTGTCTTGTTCATGCAGCCGGCTGTGACAGTTTTATTGAACACACGAACATCAAAGGTGAATTGTGAAGGAACTCACTGAAAGGCAATTTCAATTTGATGAATAAAGTTGTGTTGTATGGAGCTTATTTTGGATTTTGGATTTCATTAATTGGATTTCTGCTAAAAGTTAATAGGTTTGTGGTGTATATAATGAGTTGGATTGATTGATGGATGGAGTCATTTTATTTGAAGTAAAAGGATTTTGGTCTTTGAGGTTTAAGATGTGGTGATGAGGTATTAACTAACAGCTACAGTGCTAATTATGAAAAAGGAACAGAGACGTACATGACTTAATTATTCTACAAAGACAGCATTTAAAACTTATCAACCCACATACCCACAAACCCTCAGGTGAAAACAAGCTTAGATTTTCAGGTGTTTCTGGTCTGACCTCATGTGTTACTTTATACTTCAGATGTCACATTTTAAATTCAAATGTAGGGATGTCCATTACATTAGGCAGGATTTCTGTTTCACACACAATAAATAATTACACACACTTTTGTTGTCAATTTGCTTGTAAGTTTGTCTGAAAAGTCTGACTTTTCTGGATGAGTTTGATTTGAAAACAATAACTTAATATTATCTAAAATGTGTGATCTGTGTTTGCATTAGTCCACTGCCCTTGTACTTATTTTATTTCTGCTTCTTTGGTGTTCTTTTATTGACAGATAACCGACTTATTGGCTGGTCACTGTCACTAGCAGTTCAATAGGTTGCAGCAGGCTTGAAGCAAATGTAATGTTGATCTCTTACTTGAGGATCAGATTATTAGAATGATACTGTAATCTTATTATATCCACCAACAGCGCTCATGTCTGTCTGCATGCAGGCTAGATAACAATGAGAGTTTTTAAGTCCAAATAGTTTGTTTCTACTTAAGAACTCTTTTGGGGGAAAAGATTAATTTACAGTGTTCGCTCTTAAGCTGCGAATCATTCAATGACGGCTCAATCTGCCTGGGAGTTGGGCTAAAAATAGCAGTTGGTATCATTACTGTCTGAAGTCTTCACTGCAGCAGCTGTCAGATATACCTCTTCTAAAGTGGCCTCTAGTGGCGACCGCTGATTATTGCAACAATTGATCATTATGTTTCACCCTCAGAAGGTTCTTCGATATAAAAATAATGTGAAAAGCTTAATACTGTAGTTATTGTACAAAGTTACACCTTCACATAATTATTTTAAAAACCGAGCACTGGTGTTTGTTTTACTGTTTCCTCATTAGACCTCTTCTCAGGACTATGATGCATTGACTGGGCTTGACTGATATCTCTATACCTCTTCTCTTAGCTTTGTTGCACCTGTTAAAGTGGGACAAATCTATCCCCATTTAAGTTAGTTTGTGGACTTCCCCGTCAACCAGCAACAACCTCTAATCAGCCAGAATAAGTGAAAACACCTATGTGAGTGTGCAAGGCTTCTATTGGCAGCAATAAAAAGATCTGTATGTTGGGAGCTCTGTAAAAGCATTGAGCGAGTGAATAAAGTGAGTCAGATAATAATCATTTAGACATTCATCAGGTCTGGGCTGTCCTGGTAGCTCACCTGGTAAAGAAAACAATTTTAATTTCACCAATAGTCTGCCTTATGAATGTTTTTTTAATACAGTTCCAGTAGAATAACATTTCTGCTTATGCTTTTGTCTTCATTTGAGTCTGTCTTTACAGATGAAATCAATAACAATAATACTATCCAGCCAATTTTGCTTTACTTAATACTTAATGTTTCTATATTGTATTCATACTGTGTATCATTTTGGAGACATTTAAAGGTAAAATTGGAGATCTAATGGGCGCACACACACACACACACACACACACAGACACCACACACACGACCACACACACAACACACACAGAGAAGCTGCTGCTTCTCCACACAGACCCGCACTCCAACAACACACACACACCAACACACACAGAAAGCTTGCCTCTCCATATGGACACACTGTAGTAAGCAGGCATGTCAAATCTGCTTTTGGAGAGATTTGTTGACAGATGCTTTGTACAAGCTCAGCTGACCACTTAGCATGCACTTATAACCTAACTTGTTGATTTAAAGGTTGTCATAATTGTAAAGCTTGCCCAAACCATTCTGGGATGAAAGAGGTCAAGTTCAGCGAGCTCAAACCACCTCGCACCTCGAGCAGCTACATCCTGCAAGTGTGACCTGAGATGACAGGATCTGCTTAAAGTACAAGATGTGTTTGACAGCTGATTTACAGGAGCACCACTGACTACATATCGAATATATTGTAAATACATTCTAGAATCTG